TATGCCTGAGCCCTGTTGAGTCTTTGAAAGAGTGTTGGTGAATCGGTCGGCTACCCTCCCTGAAGAAGAAAACACAAAAATCATTTGAGGTTATTGTATCTTGGAGTCTAGTTAGGTTATTAGCAGTACAACTCTTCCTATTTTACTGTTCGGAGGGAGGGGCTGTGTGGTCTTTGATGTGGTAAGTTTTACCATACATTTAAGAAAGCAAAAGAATTGTACAATAGTAGTAATAGGAAGTGTTAAATACAAGCTCGTTTTTTTATGAACAAGACATCCGGTATATTAACAAAAATGCTGTCACCAGCCGCAATGCATAAGGATCTAAGCCTGTCACGACTTGTGTCGAGAGAGTCGGAAAACTTTCGGATATCAGAACTAGATGTTTGACTAGCGGAGTAAACGTTTGCTAGCGTGGTATGATAAAATTCACCAAGAAAGCGCGGTTTACATTGAACGACAATTCAGTTAATTTTTCTGGTCTTAAAATGAAAAAGAAGATGCGAGTCGTTACATCACATTCGGTTGACAAATGTGATTACTCCACCATCTCTATTATTAAAGTTCACAATCCGACTGCCTCGAAAGATCTCAAATCCAGCAAGCCGGACAATACCGTCCTGAATTTCAGGATGTAACCAACTTTTCTGGAGCATAATAAACCCAACTTTTAGCTGCAGTTAAGGAAAAGCTTACCAGATGCATTTTACTTTAGTAGCAACAACTCAGTCTAAACAGTCAACTTACAAGTGGGTGGGAGGGTAGCTTATACTCGGGATATTGGTGTCTGTTTGCTTATTTTTGAGGTTCATCGAGAATAATTCTGCTCCGGTAAACGTGTTTGATTTGCTCTGCTTCATAATTACTGAAATTTGTTATGGCTGTAGTGCCAAGTAATGTTTTGATTACCTGAATTTTATCTCGCAAGTGACCTGAAAATGCACTCGATTCTGTTGTGCAATCTTCCTAAAGTTTCATTAAGCAGTACGTCCTAAGGGCGTACGATCCGATGAACTGGACACCGGCCCCAAATAGATTGCGGTTTTCTCACTCCGCCCCGCTGTCCTGCGGATCAGGCTAACCAAAGACTCCGATTGTGAACTCCCTAAGAAAATCCACTTGCTTGACCTGTGCAAACTAGCAGTATCGTGCCCTTGAGCAAATCATGAACCTCTTTTTCTTATCGATAGAGATTATTGTACCGTAATTTGTTTACAAACGGCCTGAATGGGTGTGTGAAAATAAATAAACAAAAAATCACTTAACAAATGGTTGTATTCAACACAAAAACGAAGCATGGTCAATGTTCTCCCGGTATTACAACCCATGAAAAAGTCCCATTCATGTCTCTGTAACATGCATTTGTCAATCTCAAAGACCCTTGATACCGATTAGTTATATGTGTATGAAGCAGGACAGAGACAAAATGTAATTGATCTTTTTTTATATTTTACAGTTAGCTAAACAATGTCACACAGCCGGTTAACTGTTTTAAGCAGAGAGAAACTCGTTGATCTCTGAAGAAAAAAACAAATTTTCAAGATGACCACATGTAGCATAGACCACATCAGCCACGTGCCACAATTGTCCAAGCATCAGCTTAAATCGCATAAACCGCTCTCGCCCCACCCCCTGGGCACACGGTCTGACGCTCACATCCTTATACAAACAAAAACCTGCTGACTAAGGTTCCTCAGCACGAAGAAATTCCGACCATCAAATCACGTGTTTTACTTGAAACCAATAGGACACCTTGCCATTTGGTCTATTAATCAATATCAACTGAACAGTTAAGTTGTGCACCGAAAACGTTTCACCCAGGGTTTTAAGTACAGCGAAGCCATAGACATTCATCGCTCATAGGAAACAATGAATATGTTTACTGAACCCTTATACGCAGGCTATGGAAACTTCAACTGTATAATTTGCAGTCGTTTCAGTTTTCAATATCGCATAAAAACGAAAATGAAGTGTACTGTATTAACACTACATATGTAAGCTTGCAGACATAAATTTCAGTCACTGACCGTGAATCCGAATTAAGTAAAATATAATTAAAGCTCAAAACAACAAAATAAGAAATCAGTTTTGAAGCATGAACGTTTGCTTTTGATACCTCAACTTTTTCACTTCTGTCCTCAAATATCGGCCATATACGGATTAAAATCAGTAAATAAATACACAAATTTATTCTAGCAGGAACAGTGCAAAGCGTTGAATGGAATCAGTGTTCATAAAGATCGATACTTTTTAGACGAAAACTCTGCGATGCACCAATGTGAGAATCAAACATTTCATTAAGTACTACTACTGTAATTCCAAGAGATCGGTGCTGGGCTGACGCTGATTACGGGCAACGATAATAGTATAGTATAGTATTGGATTACATAGAACGAAACGTCTCATCCGGAACAGATCATCGAATTTCGGACAAGCAAACAGGATACAACAGGCCGATGGTAGATGTGCACATTTTCTTTAGTTACGGTTTCGAACACAGTAATTCGCTCTAGGCGTTCTTGTTCATTTTTGACTGTTGTGAGAAACCATCAAGCTTATTCTGTTGCGTTATCCAAACATAACAGTCACAAATGCGAATATTAGTTCGAAACGCCAATTCGAAGGGGACGCGGATACACAAATGATAGTCTCCAAAACGCAATGCAGTGATTTGGAATTCTTTTTTAATGAAGCCAGAAACGATGACGGGGTACAATGTAAGAGAACGGGTAATATGTACTGCTGATCAAAATAAGAAATCACCTATCGATTACCATTGCTTTGTCTAAGTTTCCAAACGAAGAGATTGGAGGAAGATCATTAATGTTGGCTTAAAGAATAGAAGGAAAAAACAATACAAAAGAACTTTCTAGTCCTTTACGAGGGGATGTAGGCAACTATAGAATCAGGTTTGTTTTAGCCACAACGTGAATACCAAAACACAAGATTTCGGTGACAACGTTTCGACCTCCTTGGAAGGCATTTATCAAGTCAGTTTAACCGGTGTTTTTGAGAAACCGATTATACTGACTTAACAAAGGCCTTCTAAGAAGGTTGAAACGTTGTCACCGAAATCTTGTGTTTTGGTGTTCACGTTGTGGATAAAAAAAACCTGATTCTATTGTTACCATGAGCACAACGCCCAAATTTTTCGAAATGATCCGGAGCACCTTCGGATTATTAACGGATGTAGGCAACATTCTGATAATGCTGTTTCATAGATAATGTGATGAAAAATAGTTAGTGAGTCACACAAGTATCGCAAGTTCTGGGAGAGGAAAAGATGAAGGTGGTGATTTGAATGCTAAAACAATCAAAAACAAACATCTCGCAGATTTGGTAATAAAATGCATTCGATAAAACAATATGTCTGAAGTGGACCCGTTTGATTTGTAGGTTAACTGAAACGGGTCATGTGGGGTAGTGATGATACCAGGAAGCGGTGCGTTAAGTGAGCCTGAGCGAGAACAACTCTAGAGTGGTGGAACGGGCTGGCTTAGAAGAATCAAGTAGCTGGAAGTTTTTGCAATGGTAATACTAGACAGAAGATCAGCATACGAGCATTGATCACGGAGATAGGGATCTGATGAATAAAAATGCATTTCCCTCTGCTTGGGCATATGTGTCACGTTTCAAAATGTTTGAAGATAAGTTGCATGGACAAGCGGTAGTGGTTGATTCGGTTGACTTCAGTAGCTTCAAAACCGCTTCTTTTGTAAACAGTTCCTATTCAGGGTTACCAATACACTAACGGTCACCGGAGTAAAGGTTGAAGACTGACTGAATGCGGTGTTCGGTTTGGCTCTGTCAACAGTGCCGGCTGAAGCTGACTCTTTCCTCCCGCATTGTACTCGAGTACCTTTCCGCGTTTGTTTAACATCATCACCTCCCCGAAGTTGTTCGATGAAGGACGCATTCAGACATTTGACAAGTATTTTATCTGACACACGTGCAACCTTGGGCTTTGTACGTGAACTATTTTGTCTTCTTAGGAAATTGATATTATTCAGTGGAATACTAAATCTATCAGAACCACCTTGTTTAGCCTCGTATGTGAATGAACTAATGACATTTTGAGTTGAATGAGCAGGGCAAACACATTATCCAGAGATAATAAAATAATAATATTACTGAAGAAACGACTTTTAATAGCATCCGGAGGAGATAAGCAACGAATAAGGTTACAGAAGGCAGTTTGACAAGCACAATGGAACCCGATATCATTTGTTTAATCTAGGAGTAAAGGTCAAGGTGAAGGATTACTGTCGCAACACTAGGGCGAATCAAGCAAAAATGTGGTGATGTAGTATATGATATTCAGGTCGGTACAGACATATGGATTTGTCATGCAAACGAACTACGCAGCACGTGATGCACCGAACTGCTGCAACAGACCCGCTAGTTTCACTTGATCTGCTCATGGACACTCAACTTGACGAGAGAAGAATCCAGAGCGTCAAAGTCACCAAGATCGTTTGAATAGATCTCTTAACAAAACAGAGGCTCAATGAGTAAAAGAAAGCTTCCAGGCTTCTAACAAAAACCGGACACCTTCAAACCAAAAAAGGGAAATTACTTGACGAAACTTGCTTTGTTCTGTGACCACCAGTCAGAAAAAGAAAGCCGAACATGTGTGACTGGTCGGAACTGGCAACCAATCAGGGCCGCGAACAACAGACTAACCAAACAATCGTTTGGTTTGTTTGTCCATGTCCTCCAGCTTACGTATGCACAATTAATAAATTCCCACACGCTTCCAGCTGTGTTCCACTTCACTAACTGTATAATGGCTAATGGATGAGAAGCGTTATCGGGAGACGAGCATTTGAAAATCCTGTAAAGAGACAATTCCGTGTGATTATAACTATTGGACCGACTAAACATTCGTGTTATAGATAACCATTCCCGTTTTAAAGTGGTCTCTTTCAATTCATATGTGCTAAAGCTTGATATTCAGTTTTTGCCACCAGATCGAAATTGGATTGAAATCTGGGCGGCGTTTAAGCCATGAAATCGCCTACGCCGCTGAACAAGAACCCGCCTTTGGTCAGGTTTGAGTTTCTAACTGCGGCATTACCCAGTCGGAATACGGCATCCGCCTGATCATTCAACGTTAACCGCGGCACGTAAACTTCCAGTGCACGAAGGAACTCATCGCGAACATGAACACCACTCAGGATGATGAGGCCACTCGAGCCCTGAACCAAAAACACGTCCATTCCATCGGTTGATGGTTGATCCATTGATTGAAATACTGTTCGTCTCTTCCTAAGTCTTGCTAACTGTAATCGCATACATTCAGTCCGTCAAAGTTGAATCCCTTAACACCACCGAAGGAAACTCAGTTCTATTTATCTGATCATGTACCACCCACAATAAACCGTCACTCAGTTACACGTTCTTGTCTACAAAAGGCACCCCATAGTTTATCGTTTTGAAAAGTTTACTCCAAAGAGACATCGCATCTCCAAGGCATGACCCCCGGAACTGTACTTTTTCAATTTAAGATGTCCGAATACCAAGTTAAGATGTCACGTTGCTATGTTGATAGTACGAGAATCTGATTGCTCCATCGTTTCACATTGTCTTGTAATTTTTGTGATGATCTTGTTGTCATGTGCAGTTTGCTATAGATATTCTTGTCAATGATCGAGGATGAAGGTTTACGTAGGGTTGGATGGATGGGTTGTTCTCCTCCACTGTTGTCTGTGATCGTCGATCAAGTGTACGTCATTGACGCGAATGAACGAACCAGGCGGTAATTGACCTCTGCGTTAGGACAAAGAAGCGAATCACGTCAAGATGGATCGATAAATCGGTAACCATGCTCAGACGTGAGTGTTGGAATGAATCATTGCATGGGTGGATTCAGTCTAGGCCCTCAATATCGTAGTGACTAAATTCCATTGCGAGATCATCACAAAAATTACAAGACAATGTGAAACGATGGAGCAATCAGATTCTCGTACTATCAACATAGCAACGTGACATCTTAAATTGATGAAGTTATAGATGCCGGCCGTATCAGCCTGCAATTATCTTTGAAAGTTTCTGGGGCCGGTCGTGACGTGTGTACAGAAATTATGCAGCAGGCATGAAGACCAACGAGGACCCTTTGAAATGATTGTAATAGACAATGGTTACCACCGGCCGCATTTTTCTTTCGTGTCTAATATACTCTGTGATAAAAGGTTTTGATTCGAACCGTCTCATTATCTATATGTAATCCAAATTGCCATGAAAATGATTAGACAGGTTCAGCGAATTCGGAACCGGTTATGGAAGATGGAAGGCACTGCGAGCATCCGTTTAATAAATGGTTATAATGCTTTGTACGCCAAGCCAGCTTTCTGCCACATGCTAGCTTACTCATCCAGGGTCGGATACAGAAAGGCAGATCTGAGAATATCCAAAATGTGCCTTAGGGCTTAGTCACCAATCGAATCCATCGATAGCTTCGAATACTTGGGCTCAACCACACTCCCCAACGGCCAAGCTAAAGACGAGGTACAAGTGCGCGTCGAGGCTGCAAGAAGGGCGTTTTCACAGCTGAAGAATCCCCTTTGGCGTAGAAATGAAATCATCCTCAAGTCCAAAATCCGAGTTTTCTCCGCAGCAGTCCGTTATGTCTTGCTACACGGCTGCTAAACCTGGCCACTTAGAGTCGAACATTATCGCAGATTAGAAGTCTTCGATCACTGGTGCTTAAGAATCATTCTGGGAGTACGATGGAGGGATCAAATCTCAAATGAAGCGGTCGGAAATCGGTGTTTTATTCTTGTATGGCTGCGGACGCTAATACAACGGCGGTGACTACAATGGTTTGGTCACATTCTTCGTAAGTCTGATTACCTAACACCTACCTGACACTGCCTCCTTATCTGAACTAGCGCTGTCGACACGGTGGACGGCTGAAAACCTGGCTTGACGCTGCACGAAAGGATACTGAAAACCTTGGTCTCCGTTCCGTCTACGGCGCTCGCCAATAGAAGTCAAGTTGGATCACAATCTGCGACGATCTTACCGCAGATCGCCGAGCGAGGGCAGCGGCAATTCGGGATATTCATGAAGTGGGCTTATCCTCTCCCCCAGGAGCCAGCAACCGTAAAGTAAATAAGTAAGTTGCTCTACGCCGTACGAATCTGTTTCATTTGAATTGAACCTGCAGGGTTAAGATATCTTTTTGAAAGTATTATTTTAGTTTCGACCACAATTTATTTTTTTATGAAAGCAAAGACGCTTCTATGTCACATTCCCACTTTTGACCTAGTGATTGCAATAATACTCAAAAATATGTATTATGGCCCACTCAGAATCATACGAAAACACAGTTGGGGGCAGGAGAATTTGTCGTGAATTAAATGCGGTTCTAAAAGGACAATAAGTCCTGATGACTGTGGCATCACAACAGGATTGGTATTGATCATTGAACTGCAGTTAGTACTCTATTAACCAGTATGTCATGACACAATCAAAGAGCAAACAAAATATTCAACCTAATGGTCTTTCTAATGGTATCGTATAGGGTGAAACCGCACACGAACCCTAAGTTGGCCTTCAGGTTAGAATCCCGATCGATCGATTGAAGCGGCCACTTACGAGTCGTCATCAATAAGGCCAAAAATAACACTACTAGAAAGCGTAAGAACACAAACCGTATACAAATATTGCTCATAGTGGCAGGACAACTGGAGATTATTCGCTTGTTGCTCGTCAGCAATAGCATTTTCCTCTGGAAAAGGGAACAAAATCTGCCGCTCTAAAAACGTGTGTTTTATCGTCGTTCATCACATTAACATGCCTGTACGAGGAACAGTGCAAAACATGCCCAGCGGGTGGGATCCAAGGTGACTGGACACTTTTTTGTGTTTGGCAACTACCGTCTCAAACCGTGCAGCTAACTTGCAAACGTCATGAGAAATCAGCTCAAATGGTAGGATTTGCGAGCCAAGCATAAGTTCCCCATAAGCAGCGATGCAAATTAACTTAAAGACCTTGTATTTGGATTGCACCACCGCCTGATTTCCTCCTCTTGTCATTCATCATATCTTCCGATAATCTCTTGATGGGTACCAGTCCCTCCCTGAAACTGATCGCACAAATAAATGTTGACAACTATGAACGCTCTGCAACTAAACCTAAATTAACCCCGCTTACAGAGTAGCCGCAGATAAGTGTACATTATATAGTCTACTCTCAGAATGGCTGGCAAAATTATGGATTTGAAAGTTACATGGGGCCCGTCTTGGATCTAATTATGTAGCCTAGTGAGCGTGTGCTGAAATAGCCACAGCACACCACATATTGATTTTCCATGAACACGTGGAGAAACCGAACTCGGGTGACTTAGTCCATGTTGACCCGAATACTGTCAGATGATCCGACTAATTACCTGAATCATTAGCAAAACAAACATCTTTAGGCTTGTAGATGCACCGTTTCCGGTCAAAACGGTGCGCAATATCAAATTTTTAGACGTACATGGGATATCGATTTAGCTTCCACCGTAACTGTTGCTTAAGAACGAGCACCGATTCGGGAGTCATCAAAAGCGATGGGCGAATATACGGAAGCACTACATTCGCTATCGTTGGGCCGTTCAGTGAATGGTTGCCTATATACGTACCTTAGCATCACTGAAAACAGAAAACTGCACAGCGTCTTCAGTGGGGGGAAACGAAGTTTTGTTGACAAACTAGACAGAACATTGTATTACACATCCAACTGCATCACATTTAACTGGATCATCACTTCGCACCCTTTTAAGATTATCATACTAAAATCCATATGAAAAAGAAATCAAGCGATGATTTCTTTGCACCTAGCCTTTTCAGATCTGAGGACCTTTAAATGAGGTTCGCCGAGCGCAGTGTCCAATACCCTCTATCAACCAAACCAGAAGGCGACTACAGCGACCAGAATGTGATGGAGCAAATTTTTACACCTCGTCTGGGGGGGGGCCTATTAATCCTTTAGACGAGCTAAATTCCCTGACTCACCAACCCGGTTAGTTTTAAATAACGGCTTTTTCTTTCTCCCATCTTAGGGGAAGCACTAGCGAAATCGGAATACAGCCAAACGTGCCCTGTCGATATCTCACGAGATGCGTTCGGTGACAAGATTTCTCTGAAAGAGAAAAACTCCTGGTCCACTTAAGCAAAAACTGCGGTATTTCACTTCATGGCATAAGTTTCGCCTATTACGCGACTAGCAATAACCACACATCACACAGGTTTAGATATGACCCGAATAAAAGCCTTCAAAACGTTTATCCAGCACTTTGAGCAAAACGGACTCAATTCTTATAATACTACGCCGGTACGCTGTAACCACTGGTAGCAACAAATGCATTGACCTGATTTTTATTCGACCCTGTAACGTCATAAGCAACTTGACTGGATACCATTTCACCGTTGTTAGTAAACATAGGAAACTTCTCAGTTACATTGCTCAGCTGAGCGCAAGTGTAATCTTTTTTCTTTCAGTTCCAGAGTCATTGATCAACAAGATTTGCGAATTGAACGCACGGAAAGAGCCAAAGAGTGGTCAAAACTTGACGACGGAATGGGAAGAGGGGCAGATAAAGTGACCGAAATTGGATGAGGCTGGTAGTCATGAGTTGAAATCGATAGATCTGTAAGGCCTGTAGTTCAGAATGAGCCCTTGAGAACAAATGAAAAGTATACACGAGAGTACAACAAGATCTGAGATTAAGGGCATTCGTGCGCATCAAGAGATTGGGAAGGAGAAGGGTTAAGGCGCGGTGTTGGGTAATGCATAGCCAGATTTGGACTGAACACAGAACAATCCGGGACCTCGGTGAAAGACAAATCTCCACTTGTAAGAAATCACGGAAGTATACAATCACAGAGTATTTGTGATACGAAAAAATGGTGCGTGAGTATACCTGGAGGGATGGGAAAAGTAGGAGCAAGCGTCAATGAAGGGTACATGAACGACATCAAGGATGAGAAGCCGTTACTGAAACAGTGTTTCTCTGAACGCGTATAAGAACAGATTAGAATGCCAAAGTGGCTGGCACTCCCAGTGTATTGCTCAGTAGGAACGACTATATATATAATATGAAGGGAACTCTGATTCTAAGGTCCCATGCCTGAACTGTGATGTGCTGGAAATCCTGGAAATGAAAATAAACAAGAGAGAGTTACGGCATAGATCGAATTAAAGGGCTATCAACTGATTCCATGAGGTAAATCGACCATAACCGTCCTATCATCACCTC